GGTGGGGGGGGGGTGGGGGGGGGTGGGGGATGTTGACGTCTTCACCTGACCCTGAACCCTAACCCTGTTCACTTCTTCGCCGAAGCCTAAATAGAAAAGTTGAGTTTGAATTGCCGGAAGCTGGGCCAGATGATCATCAAAGATAAGTACCAAGATCTCAGGTTGGCACTCCAGCGCAACAGAGTCCGATGAGTGCAGCCGCCAAAAGATTTCCTCTGTAGAGTTAAGATAGGCCCTCTTCAGACTCCGAGGGTTGATGCAGAATGAAAGGTGTATGTACTGGAGCTTGAGGACACATGCAAACCAATGGCATCTTATAAATGATATATAGATATAAATAAATAAATAAATAAATAAATATATATATATATATGTATATGTGTGTGTGTACATGAATATATATACATATATATATATATACATATACACATATATATATATATATATGTCTTTTTATGTATGTATGTATGTAAGGATGCAGGGAAACACGTGAGATCTAATGTTGATCATGTTCTCTTGCGCGTCGAAACGTCACTAAAACTAGTAACTCGTTTCACCGCTTCTGTATCACTGCCTGCACCCCGCGCACGAGCAAATCCACGGCTACCTCGACGCATGAAGTCCTGTATTTTACAGCCTTTCGCGTCTCAACACATTAGCTGCCAATTCAAGCAACAAAAACCACTGCAACCAACACCACCAACAGCAACAACCTCAACCAATACTCCTCAGCTACAACCCACAACAATTCATGTCCCACGGGTCATACCACCACCATTTCCACCTGTTCCACCAGCCTTTTCACCTGCACCACCACCACCTACACCATTGCCACCACTTCCACCTCCATCCACACCATATCCTTATCCTGACTCATCAAGCTCCATTCCCCCACCTCGTCTTCCACCACCCACGACACCATACCCTTTTCCAGCACCCACCAGCTCAGCGCAGTTTATTGTGCCCAAGCCTCCAGTATCTGCAGTTACTGGTTTTCTTCAGCGTGCGGCTAAGTTTTCGATAGTGCCACCTCCAGCGTCGTTGACCAATGCTTCGCAGATTCTGAATGATGTGGCAAGTGAGAATAAGAAGGGTACTCTTTCCTGCGCAACTTCAAGGTAAAGACGATTTGGCTTACTCTTTTCGGCTTGCCAGTATAATTCCGCTGAACTATGACTGGCGGCCAATGGGTCAGGTACCATGCTGTTCTGTACCTCGTGGTCTTTTTGCTCCGATTGAGTTCATTAAGCTTCGCACGATGCAGCAGAGGAAGGAATTCACACAAGAAGAATACAGACAAAGGCAGGGTCTGGAACCCCACGAAACATTTCGTTGGCCCTCTTGGCTGTAAGACTTGTTGAGCACTCATGGCGAAGTGCTGCATGAGCATGCAGATGACGTGGTGCATAACTTTTCCAAGATTATCACTGTCTTGGGGCATCAACCGCAAAACTTGATTACTTGGGGAAAGTCTTTTCAGACTCTTGGTGGCCGAACTGTTCTGGATGCTTAAGACAAAGAACTTTCCGGGACCGGAGATGAGTTTTATCATTTTTGTCACATGACCTCCTTGCACGGGTTGCTTGGAATGATGAAAGCTGGTATGTACTTTCTACTGCTACTGATCGCATGGGATTACCTTCGGAAGTTCCTGTGAGTGCGTTCTTTTCGCTGCTGACGCATACTCATCAGCAGCTTACGGTGGAAGAGATTGCTACGCAGTGTGCAACCCTTTTCATCACGCAGTGTGCAACCCTTTTTCATCATTCGAAGCAGCAGTCTGGAGTGATGCTGAGTGGTTGTGTGACTGGAGTTCACACAAAGCACCCTGGTCCTCCATGTGGGTAGAGCTGTGTTTAGCAGTGCGCGCCGGTCTTGTTCGTAGTAAATCTACGGAGAAGAGATGGGCCATTCGTGTAGATTTGGCCAAGATCGAATGGATTATCATCATGTCTTGATGTTAATATTCTTCTTGTTGCTAACAACTAAATGTTTGAATAACTGCATCTGCTTGATTATTCTTGCTGAACTCATGCTAATGAGTTCTTGCGTAGCTTGTGAACTCGCTTGCAATTACCAAAGCAGTCACCTTAGGTGAGAAAACAGCAGTTTTTATAGCTGTCAGGCCCTTTTGCAAGTAGGTGAGTTATTGTTGACCTGTTGATGTTTTTTTCCCCTCTCGCATTGCTGAGAACTATGCTCACTGCGAGGTTAGCTTGGACGTACAGTGGATGCAGTAATTAAGCAACTCAACAATTATCGGGTTGCAACAGTTCGCACAAATGCTGCAGTCATACCCAAAACGAAAGTACATCAAGTACGATAACAGAGGTCTACAGCATTTGATGCTTCAGCAAGTGCCACTGCTGCTATTAGAAGGCAATCAATGTCTTCAAAGCGCAAGTGATGCAGCTACAAACCCCTAGAAATTTTGCCTTGGCGGTATTCCAGCCTGTCTGGTTCGGACCTTGCCAGCCTCCAGCCGACAGCATGCATGCATTCAAATTATAAATTACAAATTGGCAAAATTAAGGCTTGCACCTGCGTAAATTACAAATTAAAGTGCAAGCATGGCATGCAGGAATTATAAATTAGGGTCCTTGAGGAGACTGACATGTGGCACCTCTGTGCGGTGCTATTCGGTAGTGTACGTAGTAGTGTACATAGTATGACAGCAGGCGGTGTTCAGGCATCAGGAAACCTAAAATGGCGCAGAGATTTATTCGGGAAGATAGATATAAGATCACCTTAACGCTGCCCAAACATCGCCCTGATAAGGTCATTGCTGGTCGTAGGTACCTGAGCCGGCAGTGGCGTGATCAGAAAATTGGGCTGGCGATTCTCGCTTGGCCCAAGGAAAACCTGGTTTGGTGCTGGGCTGAGACTGCCAACATGTTCAGAGAGCCTCAGTTGGATGCCCGGCATCTGACTTGTCGTATCCAGTGATACTGGAATGACCGCTGGCGCCGGTTGAGCCTGCTGAGGTGGCGTAGGCCCCAAAGTCGTAGGAGGCGTTGTTGGTTGTGGCGCCACACCCGCTGACGACGACGCAGCCTCCGGACAGGGCCTGTCCGATGGCGGCTTGCGAATCGGCAGCTTGGGTAGCCGGTTGAGCACTTCGGCTAGTAGAGGCAGTTCATGCTGTATGCTTTCAAGGCCAGAACGCAGGCAAGCGTCAGTCTCATTAACAGCATCCACAACTCCGCTCACCAGGGACTCTAGCCGTATGAGTCGGTCCTCGCATGTATTCACAGCTTCAGCAGAGGCCTGCAAAGTCTGTTGCGCAGTCATCGATGCCTCCCTTCCAGCTACTACCACCCCCGACAAAGCCCGTAGCTCCGGAACCACTGGTCCAAGCTGTCTCAACAGAGACAGTGCATCGCCCAGGGACTTACCCGTCCAACCATTCTGGTCTTTGAAGGTTGCGAGGATTTTGTCTCTGTGCTGATCCATAACTGCCCTCACCACAGCAACTTTATCCTGGAGGTCCGTGGTTTTGCCCTCGTTGGTGGACTGGATGTGGTCCAAATGAGCGCTGATCGTCTTGATAATCTCCTTCTGCGAGGCCTCCAACTTGTTGCTGGTGGCAACCTGTTCCAGCTTTGCCCTACACTCGGTCAGAGTGTCCGACATTCCACGCAGCTTGCCCGCATCATCTGCCACCGCATTCACTGACTTGTGAATGGATGCCATCTCAGTTTGGATGGCATGCAGTGTTCCAAGCTGCGAAACCATGCTGAGAACCTGCTTCTTAATGGCACTGAGTTCAGACATGACTGTCGTGGCCTGAGATGTAGTTGCTGTTGCGTCCACCTGGCCCCTCACAGCATGCTCACTCTGAATGTCACCGAGTTTTTGAAGCACAGCACTCGCAGCTTCAGCAAAGTTTGACGGCTGAAAGAACTGGGCCAGTGCATTACACTGGGAGTCCATCTCACGCTTAAGCCCTTCAGCCATATGTTTTTCAGCCGAAGCAGCATCCTGCAGCTGTGTTTGCACCGCGTTGAGCATGAGCACAATCCTCTTCTGTGTGCGCAGAAAGTGCCATGCTGACACGAGCACCATCGCCATGAGAAGGATCTCAAGCCACGTGGCTCCAGTCGCTTGACTGAGGAAATCCATCATCTCAATTAGGCGAGTGAAAGGAGCCATGGCAATCTTTCACCAAGCTGGGCTGAGCACTGATTGGTGCCTCGAGAGGCAATCTTATAGGCTCAAAACACTTGCGGATCACTGCTCGACATATCTACCTGAATTTCGAGACCGTCCTGCCCCCCCCCCCCCCCCTGCGCAAACAGCAGAATATTAAAGCGCTCAAAGCCATTCCTGAAAGGGGGGCTGAGGTTGAGATGGGGTAGTGAGGTAAACTCGGGAGTAGTCGAAGGATCTATGGGTTCTTCTGAAATGAGAAAATTTAAGGGCTTCAGTGGCTGCTTTATCAGTCAGAGTATTTTGGGGATGCCCAGAGTGACCTTTAACATGTACAGCCTTNNTTGCCAAATTTACACACCTGATGCCACAGACTA